TTCGCAAAGTTTCCATCATTCAAAGATCTAGGGTTTGAGAACTCAAAACGCCCATATAATGAAAATCATGTATTTTTCGATCGAATCGCATCATAAGTTTCAAAGAGATCAAAACTAATCTAGATCTAAAATATTTATACGGATACAAGTCAAAATTAGATATGTATATCCCTAGTCTCAATTATTAGGAAAGAGTACCTTTATTCAGCCAAAAATCTGATCCCTATACATTTCTCTTTATTTCCTACGTTCTTAACCCAATGATTCTCCGATCTCATTTTCTTTCCCCTCTCTCATCTCCCGAGTCTCTCCTAAGCTCCTTAGGGTTGAAATATGTACAGAAAACCCTAAAACTAAATCCCTAGTGTTTATGTAGTCCAAAATTTTGATGAGTTGACGTGCTGAAACACGTTTGTCAAACACATGCACGTCCAAATGGAGATTTTGCGTCTGGATGGAGTCCATTCTCTGGCAGAAATTCTAGAGGTGCATCCGGACAAAAATCTTCCGTCTGGATGGACCTAATTTTCGGCCAAACTTGACAGACATGCTTCCGGACGGTCCTGTCTTTCTGTTCAAAACATGTTTAGGTTACACAATACTCCAAAAATTATAGTTTGCCCCTTCATCTTTTAATTCACCCCATATGACCTCCCTAAGTTTTTTGTTTGACGATCCAAATATGTTTTTAATGTTAGTTTCACCTAAAAGATCTTTAAGAAATTACTCATTCACTTTCTCCTAATCATGATCACTTCTAGAATATCAATTAATCCAAAAACCCTAATCGCTTGCGTAACACCAAGTTACTTGGTTCTCTTTTTACACTTCCTAGCAGTAATTTACTAAAGTAACATTCATGATCAATATTATTTTGTTAGTTAATTAAAATAAATACCTGGGGTCTTACACTAACACTCAATTCTCATGGTTTACAATAAGCATGCGATATTATGTTGAAGATGGACATAGCTTTTAACTATTTTAACCAGTGATCCCTAAATGCTTGGCAGACTCTGACTTCTTATGGTATTTTTGGTTCTATAGGCATATCACTTATCAAGATAGATCCTCCCCCTCTTGATGTGAACAATCATGAATCTAATTTGGTTAGAATAATTTGTAACCAGTCAAGTTATAGGTGCGTATATATCAGTGGAAATCAACCAATTTTCGTTTTTTTTTTAACTTGCTTAAATCTATATATAATTAGGATCTCAATGACTGGTCATTGTACCTCAAGGTTCAAAGTATCGGATATCGATACTAGTTGCCTTCTAGGCACCTTCCGAGTCGATACCGTTCCATATTACGTATATACCTTGATTCTCACACGTCTCGACCAAGTCATTTGAGAAGTCTTCGAGTCCCAATTTGCCCAATTATTATCATTGAATCAACCAATACCATTCTGCGACGTTACGATATGACCTAGACCTCTCACCATGGTCAACTTCTTCTTTGAGGTTGTATTGCGTAATATCGTTTTGCGACACCGAGACCTATGTGTCTTAGAGTCCTTTGAGTCAATGGCCGAGCTTGCAACTTTAACCATGTACCTTGATGATTGATGAGTTTTATTTTCTTGTTGGAATAGGTGAGTTAGGAAATACTCTTTGAAATACCAATATTCCCTTGTCCTTATAGTCTCAAACAGAGTTATTAAATCAAATAGGTAATTTATAGCTTACATTAAGTTTCGCAAGTGCAATTGTAGTTTTAACGGGCAACGGGGTATTCTCTTTCTTGATTCCATAACACCTGTTTTTAGATGAGAACTCAAAAATGAACATTGCTTGAGTTTGAGATTGAGGCTCTTGGTTATCTGTGCTCTATTGGTTCATTCACCGAGGGTTGGTTTAATATTTTGATGTTACGGGCCAACATGGTTTCTTATAGAGTTAGTGATTTGTTATCAAAAACTGGTTTAGGGAGCTAAAAACGGTCTTGATCTAAAGATAGGGAAGAGGTGGGTCATTCTCAATGCAAGTTGTTGAGGATATAAAAAAATCCTCAAAAAAATAGTGTTGGGGTTGTGCCTTATGTGTATGCTTATATGCAAAATGATTGATCGTTCATTGATGTATATAAAGCAAAATGAGAAAAAGAAGACGAAAGAAAATATAGATAAAAGAATAACACAAGAATAGAGGGTCAAACCGGAAAACACTCTAGATGACTGATTGTTGCATGTTAGAATTGGCACTTCACTTAGAAGGTGAACAAAGTTGAATGGATTGTTTAACCTTTTGTTGATACTGTTTTAATGAGAAACAGTTTGTGAAATAAAATTTTGGGTTTTTGCTCTAGGAAAGAAAAATGTTGATTGCAGACATATAATCCAGTTCGTTGTGACAATGAAATTCTTCTTTCAAGGGGGTGGAATTTTAATTTTTTTTGGAACCTTAATGATAGGAAAACTATGAAGTTGGTATTTTTTCTCCAATTGATTAGTTCGGTCTCTTTGGATTTGTTGGTCAAAGATAAAAGGGTTTAGTCTCTTAAATCTTCTGGAATTTTCTCTTGTGGTTCCTATTTTCAATTTTTAATTGATAGTCCTCAATATCCATTCTTTGAACCTCACTTGATAATTTAGAAGACTAGACTGCCCGTGAAGGTGCATATGCTTGCTTGGGTGATTGATCATGGTAAGGTGAACACTTGTGACTTGTTGCAAAAGAGAAGGCCTAACATGATTCTCTCCCCGAATTAGTGTATTTTGTGTAAGGAAAGTGGTGAAACTATTGATCATTTGTTCTTACATTGTTGTATTGCAATTTTTCTGTGGCTTAAACTATTGTAGGAGGCGGATTTGCAATGGTTAATGTCTTGTGATAGTATATCCTTGTTTGTGGTAAGTTTTGGGGGTTGGACAAAAGCTTGAATTCTGTGGAGTTGTGCCATTTTAGCTATTTTTTGGGTTGTGTGAATGGAGAGGAATAACAAATTTTTTTTAAGGAAAAGGGGAAGAAAAGAAGTTGTTATGGGATAGGGTGAAGTTTTAGCATCGTTATGGGCAAAGTTTTCAAATGAGTTCAACGACATTTCTTTTTCGGCTTTCCAACAAAACTTGGAAGCCATTTGTAGTTGAAGTTTCTTTTTGGTTTTTTTAGTTTCTCTTTTTGGTATCGAGTGGATTTCTTATGCACTATTTATGTAATTTTTCATCTTTCATTGAAATGAAAATGTTTTTCTTATCAAAAAAAAAAAAATGAAGATTATTTTTTTTGACACTGCACGATTATGAATTTAAATTCTGAAGTTAAAACAATGCATGGTTTTTATTAATGTACCGCACCCAATGTTTCAAACCATATGTGATTAAGGAAATTGTTATTCTACAACTCTCTATTTGTTGCCTTAAAAATGGTGAAATGGATTTGTGGTCACTGGTGATTTTGGCCAGGTGGTAGTTCCTTTCTGTCACTCCACTTTTTTGTACATATTTTCACTGCCATCCCTTACGTGTACGTAACTTTAGTGGGTTTTCCTTTTCTGATCATTAAATGTTTTGTTTAGAAATTTTTTTTGTTCCACTTTCTGAATGAAAAAATGGCACATCAAGGTTACATACCTATATTTTAACCTCAAAATTGTTACATACAGTTACATGAATCTTTTATAACTAAGTTAGTGGAAAGTATCGAAGTCACAAGATGGTAGTACAAAAGTCGCTCTTTGGAAATATCTACATTGGAAAATAGATATTGATAAATTGATTGTAGACTATTTTATAAAATATATAAGTGGGCAGAACTGTCAAAATAATGTATAAAATTTAGTGCCTAACAAAGATGTGATGTAAAGGTGGCGGTAGTACTTTTGATACTAGTTTTGTGTTGTTTGAGCAGTGCCAACCCTAAAAACTAAGGTAACCAAAGTGAACCATCACAGATTAAGGCAAGATTTGGTTGTTATTTGTGTTTGCTGATCTAGGTCCCACTTAGTGATAGCATTTGAAGTTCCACGGAGTGTGCCTGTGCGGTTCATGCACAAATTGGTGTGTCTAGTGTCATGAATGAAAAGATTTGAGTACCCCCTCCCTCACAAACCTCCTCTCTTAGGCACATGATGAGAATCAGAGACAGCATCCCCGTTGGATGCCATTCCAGTAGTTACAGCACTATGCTAGAAACTTTAGTGGGTAAAAGAAGAATTCCTTCCTAAAAAGTGGATTTTTTTTTAATAGCATTTCTCCATGATGGGGGTACTTGAATGTCGTCTCTCCAGTTGACATGCCCGTGACTTAACCAGCTAACTTGTTGTTTGTGGAGAGTACACGAGTCCATCTGACTTATCAACTCCCTGAAATTTTGATGTAGTATGTGAATTTGTATACACTGTAATGCATTTATTTTTCTTTTTCTGTAGTTTTTGCGTTTGGAACCATAGAGAGAGAACCAAGAAAAAGTACCAGCTGTGAGAGAATTCGCTTTTGGGAAGAGTTTGGGTTGGGGTCCTTTCCTCGTTTGTTTAGGCTGTCCCAGTCTCATGGGGCGTCCATTTATGTACTGTTCAAATGCATCTGAAGGGGGGTGGAACTTTAATTTCTTCAGGGGCTTAATGAAAGGGAAGTTTTGTAACTTTCCTCTTTACTGTCTTTTCTCAATTCAATTGTTGGGGGATAAAAGATTGTGGGTCATTGATTCATCTAGTGTCTTTTCATGCAAATCGTATTTCCATGTGTTGACTTCCATGAAACCCAGGGTTTTCTCAACAACTTGCTTATTTAAATTGAATAGATTTCTGTCTGTTCCAGTTGCTTAGATTTCTTTCAAACCTTGAGATTTCTTGCTTTCAGTATTAATGTAAGAGCTGAAGTTGTCTAAGGACCTCTACCTATTATGTCTGATTATCTTGATTGTTAGAAGAGAATTTAGTTGAATTCTCATGGCAAGCTGGCATATTTCTGGTGTGGCATTTTGGACAAGATCGGGCAGAAAGTTGCGTCTCAATTTTGACTTTCATCTTGTAGGTGTCAGAGAAGCTCCCAGTGTCCGATGTGTTGGCAATCTATCAGCCTGAAGGATCCCAACAGGTTCCATCTCCCGCTCCCCCCAAAATTCTCTTATTATAGTTAATTTTGTTATTTTTAATTCAGTGGGACCTGCCCAGCAATGGGGAAAAAAAAAGAAAAAAGGGGGAATATTCAGTGAGAATTGTTAATTGTGCTTGTCTTTGCAGCCAGGAATTGCTTGATGCAGTTGAGCATGAGAGGAGCATTAGGATGAATCCACCTAGAAATACCACAATATTTCATCATCCAACTTTGGGGGATTTCGAATTACAGCATGTTTGTTTATTCTCCCTATGATTTTTCGAAAATTTGCATCATCTTCTTCTCAAGCTTTAGTCATGTATCCATCAGGGCTTCTGTTATTGATGCAGTCTCTTTTTGTTCTTTTATTTTAAATTTTTTTTAAGCAGTTACCAGTTAGTGCAACTGATGCTGAACTTGAAGAGCGCATAATTCAGCACTTAGCTGCGGCTGCTGCCATGGGAAGGGCACGCCACATGACCAGGAGGGAAGGCCATAGGACTAGGTCATCAGCTCAGGGTCGTCCACATTTCCTGGTGTTCTCATCTCATCCTAATGCACCTCTTGCTCCTGCTTCTTCTTCTTCTCCAACTCAGAGAGGTGAAGGTGAACCACCTTCTGCAAACACAGGAGAAGAATCTCCACCACAGATAACACCACCAGCTTCGTTACAGGCTGACCAGGTTTCTGCCTCAGCGTCAGGATCAGGTGTTACTGCCAATGAACATGGAACTTCCTCAAGTAGTCGGTACTTATATTTCTTCAACTCGTTCACAAGTTTAGTTCTTTGTAAATTAGTTTCATAAATTCTCCTTGGGTAGAATATATTTGTTTTCCACTTAATCTTCCATTTATCTTTTCTTTGTTCATCCCTACTCATGATTTAGGTGTTATTTTACAGGAGGTCTCCTACTCAGATTTCTCCGACCAATCAAGATATAGCTGGACCATCAGATCTCCAGTCATTTTCAGAATCTTTAAAATCTCGAATTAGTGCAACATCGACAAGGTAGATGGAACCAATGCAATGTGCTTATATGCTTAATTTGAATGATGAATTTCTCATGGTTCTGGAAATCTATTTAACTTCACCATTTGTTATGTTAAGGTACAAAGAATCAATAACGAAGAGCACAAGAGGTTGGAAGGAGAGATTGTTCTCCCGTAACACTTCTATGGCAGACCTTGGTTCTGAAGTTAGAAGAGAAGTTAATGCAGGGATTGCTACTGTGTCGCGAATTATGGAACGTCTTGAAACAAGAGACAATAGTAGACCCAACACAGCTTCTGTATCAGCTGGTTCAGAGGATAGCTCACCTCCAGACCAGGGCAACCTGCAAATTACAGAGAGTGGCAGTGACAATTCTTTGAATGAGAATATACAAGCTCCATGTGCTGCAAGTTCTGCTTCAAACTAGTTATTAGTTGAGCAATCTCATCAACTGAAAGCATTTCATCCCAGAGGTAAGTTTTGAGTTCAATATTGCCTGTGCTGCCATTGTTGCACATGTGGGACTAGTACTCTGTTTTGAGACCAAGGCTCAACTTTTTAGTGTGTTAATTTCTTGATTCTTTGAGTTTTAATGCTCATGTTCACCTTATATGATTATGTAATTCATGGTAATTGAGTACGACATGGTCGTGGTGAAATGATGTATCGTTCACGCATGGCTATTATTTTCAGGTTGCATCACATCTGTTGCATGAAGTTATATATTCTCTCCATTACATTGCATGCCAATAAATCACTGAGAGTGGTTAGGCTGTAGGTATACAGATACAGGCAGAGATAAAGAATTGAGAGACCAAAAATTGAGGACGAAATCCATTGCCCCTAGTGAGCTGGTTGAGTATGTCTGTAATTTTTAGGTCATAAAACCACAATTGCATAAATACTTCAAACTCTTATAATGCACTACTCCCCTTCAAGCTAGAATATAGATATCTAGCATGCCCATCATATTAGTTAGCTGTGCAACTGTCCTCTACCTAAAGGTTTAGTAAACATATCACCCAATTGATCTCCAGTCCTACCGCCTACGCACATAGTAAAAATTTGTTGTCATTATCAAATCTCTTTCAAAATGACTTCCAACTTCTACTATGCTTTGTTCTCCCATGAAATACTAAAGGTGCATTTGGTAATATTTTCATTTTTATGTTTTTTTTATATAGAAAAAAACAAAAGTAATTTTTGTTTTTTCTCTGATAAAAACTGAAAATATAAAACATGTTTGGTAGTCATTTATATTTAAAAAATTATAAAAATAAATATAAAAAACATGTTTGGTATTATACCAAAAATCCACCACCCAACAACACCAAAATCCACCGCCACCAAACACCACCACTAACCACCCAACCCCTGCAAAACCTACCACCACCAACCCCCGAAATCCACCATCCAACACCACCTGAAACCCAACACCACCAAAATCAACCACCCAACCCTCCTACAAAACCCACCAGCCAACCCCCCAGCAAAACCCACCAGCCAACCACAAAAAAGAAAAAATCAGAGAAAGGTGACAGTGAGAAGGGCGAGAGAGAGCGAGAGAGGGGCAAGAGAGAGAAATAGGGAGAGGCAAGAGAGAGAGAGAGAGAGAGGAGAGAGGGGGAGGGGGATAGAGAGGGAGCTGAGAAAAAAGAAAGTGAAAGAAGGAAGGCGATTTTATACTCAAGCAAGAAAATCTATTTTTTGTTGCTAAGGAGGATCGAAGCCAGGATCGTATTAAATCCCATTGAAGTCCCCGCGTGTGTTTTGTTTTTAGAATGTTTTCAAAAACATTATTTTAGATGTTTCCATATTTTGTCATTGTTTTCAAAACGTAGCAGCAAAAAAAAAAAACGAAAACATTAACCAAACACGTTTTTTATTTTTTATTTTTTCAAAAAGTGAGAAAAAAAAGCCAAAAAACTCCCTGTCAAACGCAACCTAAATTAGGCAATATACATGGCTGTCTATATATCACAATACATTCTCATGGGTTCTTCAAGGGATGTACCTATTTCTTATTTCTTGCAACAAAGAATTTACTTGCATCGTTTCATGTGTCATATTAGTCATAGCTCTATACTTAGCTTCTACACTCGACCTAGCTACAACCTTCTCTTTGTACGTTATACTCTTCCGTTCCATGTTATTGGTTTACCATTAACACCCTGATATTGAAAGTTGCTCTATACAATCCTAGTCAGCATCCAAAAACCAAACCACAAGAAGAGACCTAGAGGCCTTAAAAATAATCCCCCGTCATAGAGCATTTTCAATATATCTCACAAATCTTGCACCTCATTCTGCAAATCTTCTTGAAGAAAAGCATTCTTGATGGCAAGTTGATAAAGAGGCCAACGTTGTGGCCCACAGGAGAAGAAGTCTCAAAATAATCTACCCCAAATGTCTTGTTCTTTTTTTTTTTTTTTT